TGGCCATCGCCCATTACTTTCTCCCATTGCGCTTCGCTTGGAGCGCTACCAAACATTGGCTTACCTTGCGACCTCCTTTTGCATACTCGCAATCTGTCCATTGTCCATTGCGGTGGCTAATTCGACTTCATCCTCCAGTTGTTGTTTGGTTGTTGTGAGAGTTGCCTCCACCTTTGTCAACTGCTTTCCCACTGCCTCCTCCATTGGCCAGTCCATTTTGGCGCTATTCCATCCTCTCGCCCGTTGCCAATCTCCTTGTATGGCAGTTTACATCCACCTCAAGTCCTTTGCTTGCATTTTTTCCCAATCGCCGCGCATCCTCGAAGACGGTGCCGATCACCAAAATGCCTCCCCCCCCCCCCCTCCGGCTCATCCGGTTGTGAATCCCCTCATACAAGGCGTGTAGCTCGTGGTCTTGATGCTGCTCCAATGCTGCTGCCTGATTCGCCGCAGCTTGCAATTGCGCCTCCATTAGCTTGACCATGCCGGGGAGGATGGCACCCATCCGATCCTCCACGTCTTAGGTCCCCTCAATGAACGTAAACATGGTCACTCGTCATACAGCTGCCACGGTCACGGCCCACACATGTTGCAACATTGAGCCTTTGGGGCGATGCTCTTCTTGTAGTGGGGCAGCTCGCCACCCGCAAGGCCACTTTTTCCATGTTGTTTTCGTTCACATCCATTGGGTTGCGTCACCCCGGTGCGGCCCAATTGCTTGGTGCTAGAATTTGGCGCAATGTCTAGAATGTTGCCAGTTGCAGCTAATCCAGGTTTTTGGAAACTTTTGCCTACTTCGCGCTATTGTTTTGGTTGATTTGGCAGAATTAGTAAATTTGTGTGGCTAGCTTTGATTGGCGCTGCACAACACCATCTGGGTCAATTTCTGTCCAATGTTGTTGGGCAAGGTGCTCTGGCTGCTGTACTTTGCCGTTCACCTTTGCGTTGTACCATTTTGCACCAATTGAACTATTTCCTGCCCAATGGGCTTGTCAAATTTTCGAATATGGCTGGTGGCTCAGATATGTTTGTGTCATTGCGAATATTTTTCAGGAAAAAATGCTCTTAGTGTATACGTAGTCTGAGGTGTGGGGTCACATGAGCATTGTATTATTGCCTCAGAGCCAAGCCTGTTAGCCTAGCTAATCACAGAATGCACTTCAAGCCCTTACGAACTAATTGGTGACTCACATCCTGTAAACCGTTGCTCCTGTAGCGGTCAACTCTATGTGACCACTCATCATCGTAGACAATACATCCCAACAAAACAAGGGAACACAATGCAATGTGTGTGCATATAGTCACATAAAACCCTTAAAATAAAAATTACACAGAAATTGAAGGCATACCATACACCCATAGCACAACAAAAGCACTATAAAGACATAGAAAATATTGGGAACGTTAGTCCGATTAAGAAGGAGTGCCATGCAACGTGGTGAAGGACAGGCGCTGAAAGCTTTGCTAGCCACTGCCATGCTGCCTGGAAATCATGCTGTTGGGCATCGGTTCCCCAACAAATTGTGCCGCACGGCGCCTTGGGCACTAAGCACCGCCGTCCAACGCCGTTGGGGGCTGAAAATTCGCCACTCTACTGGCAAAACAGTCTGATTAGTAACCCATTGGACACGCCGTCAGTAAATTTGCCCAACGCCATTAGTGTGCATGGCATATTGTGGCGTTGTATCCGTGCCATAGGTGCTGCTAAATAACAGTGTGCAGAGCCGACCTGTACTTGGTGCACTTAGTCCAGCGGATTCCCACGAGCCCAGGCCAAGATCCCCCCTTGCCATCCTGGCCGCCGGCTTGCTGCTTCTCGTCGCATGAACGCCCCTTGCTCTGAAACCAAATGGCGCGGGAGGCTTGCTCTTGGAAGGCACGGAGCGGAATGAACGGGCGGCCATTCAGGCTCCCGGAGCGCCACATTTAAATGTACATCGATTCAATTGTTCAATTTATTTTTTTCATTGTTTGTTCATCCATGGCAACCAGAATTGACCCTTTTCGCTAATTAAATGTATTTAAATCATCTAAAAGAGGCACTGTATTATGTTGGGCCCAGATTTCTGAGCTACGACTTTTGGACCTCCAACGCCGCTGCGAGGAATACCACAGGTGGCCTCCCAACTCTCTTGCACACACCCAAGAAAGTGGTGGCCATCACTCTATTCAAAGGCAAATGGTCAAAGAGACAATTATCCAATGCCCTTACTAGGCAAGAATGTTGAATCGACCATTTTTTTGGCACTTGAGAAGTTTGAGCTTCAGAAGATTGGCTAGATGGATAAAGCTATAAAATATGTCTCTCAAAGGGAAATGCATTTGCTAGGCTGCGATGGATTGTGGATCACACCCAAGAGTTGGTAGGTGGTGGCAAATTGTGAAGTGTGGGCAAGGCTGCCCGTAATAGCATTGATTCAAGCCTCAGTTGAGGCAGATTGTCCAAGCAAGACTACTACATAACCTTAGAATGACAGCTCGCACATAGGCTAAGCTTCAACGCCTTGGATCCTAGCATTGTCTGCTTGCTTTCTGTTTGCGCGTTAAAGATTGAGGATGGCTGAGATTTCAGAAATGGGATTAACTATCTTGTTAATGGATTTCCGCCCAGGGCGACAAGGAGCGGGCGCGCTGGCTCCCGTTGGACCAGTGCTGCTTAAATACAGTTGTTTTGGCGGCCCCTTGAGGTTTCTGTCCCCTTGTACCTTGGGATTTATGCGAGCGTTACTTTAGGCTCACCCCTCGGTCCCCACTCCACCTTGTTTCACTTCCCGCCCGGCCCTCCTTATTAGGGTGATGTTCGGTTGTGTTGGGGCAAGTGTGGGATTTAAGTACGAGGGAACGAGGAGAGGAGTGGTGGGAGTGACTCAAGGATGAGTCTTGTATGGGACTGGCTTAACTACTAGCAAAGCGACTGGGCACACAAGTTGTGGGTACCTCGGGTTGTTTTGGGACAAACACTGCTGCCTTTGTAATGTATTGGTCCAGTGTGTGTGTGGACCTGGGCGGGACAAGGAGCCCGGCTCGGCGGAAACCTCCAGCACTGCAATGGTGACTTTCGATAGGGTTCCAAACATAGTCAATCGTGCTTGGCAGATGCTATTCAACGTGAGGGAAGCTGCCATTCACAATGAAGGTGATAACGATTTGTCTTTGGCACACCTAGGACAGGCGGAACCCAGAACCATGTGGGTCTTCAGTGAATCAGCATAAACATATGTCAGCTAATTTTGAGGGCCCCCCACAGTAGAAGTCGGCGCTGGCTACCCGCTACCGTCCATTAATTACCATACCGTACTTCCAATTTTTTTTTGCCGTATTGTTCGTCAAAAAGTGAATACTTTCCGTACAATCCGTTAATTGGAGGGGGTGTACCGCGGCGCACCGTTGTGGGTACAAGGGGCACCGTTGCGATCACACAAGAGGAAAGGCGCCAGCAGGATGGCGAGCAGCCCCCAGTGGGCAACCCAAGGCTTGGCGTGGTGATAGAGTGGGTGGGAGATTGGCGCCTCATGGCGTCCAATCCTGCTGCCCACGGGGGCCAAGATTGGCCCTCCTAGGTGGCAGGATTGGGCGCCTGTGAGGCACCGTCTGCTTCGCGAAAACCAGCGCCTCACGGGTGGGCAAATCCTGCCTACTGTGGGGGCCAATCTTCGCCCCAATAGGTGGTAGCGCAGGCGCCCGTGATGCACCACTCTTGGCTACAACGGGTGCCTCACTGGGTGCCCAATCCTGCCACCTGCGGCGGCCAGTCAAAGCCCTGGCGAGCGGCAGGATTGGGCATCCGTGAGGCACCCTTGGCTTGGCAAAACCCGCGGTGAGAGGGAGCACTGCAATCGGCAATGGATACAATTTCCATTAATTTATGGCTATTTAACGGATGGTAACGCGGACCACTAATCAGTGGACGGTAGCGCCAACCTCTACTCCATAGGTGGCGGGACTTTTGTCTTCAAAATTGGTAGTTAAGGGTTTTGGGACCCAATCTTTCCGATTCTGGTGTTCCTTTGTAAGTTTAAGAATTTCCTCTTAATGAATGTTGTCTTTCAGATAGAGGACCACAAATTCAGGACAGAGGAAGTACCAAATATCCTAATTATCATATCTTGCATAACTTAGTGGCACAGATCTGGACCCTGCCCCTTTAGATTCAAAAGGATACAAAGCGCACAAATTCAAAATGTTGCCTTTCATATGGCTCCTATCAGGGCTCCTCTTGCCAGACCCTTTATATCCAGGACACAAGGCTTCCAAAACCTCTAGTAGGACCCTTGACTGGGTTTACTTGCAGATCTACTTTAAGTTTCAATTCTGGGTTAGGTTTAGGAAAGTAGGGATCCTAGAGTAAGACAGACACCATCATTCAACACTGCAAAGCACCTGGCATATGCACATTCAACCACATTCACAGTTCCCAGGAGTACATTCAGGGCACTGGGCTCGTTGGGGGTTCCTATTAGGAGCCTCTTCTCAGGTTAGGTGCAGGGCATCGGGCACTGGGGGCCTGCAGCGATCTAGCTTCCAAGCACACAGCGTTCGTCCACCAGGGCCCACGGCCTGCCCGCTCAATCCTCAGGCCCAGATCAAGGCCAGCATCGCCGACCAGGTCATTGGTTGGCACCAGACTGTGGTCACCACCGTTGACTCCGTTGACCAAGCCATCGATTGTCCCGTGGGTGGGATTCGAAGTCAAGACTGACCCACAGACGAACCATGGGTTATGTGCAGTCAACAGCAGATGGCAATATCCATGCATCGAACCTGCCACTGCTTGTCGCCCTGATGTACTGCCTCCTGTATTGACGCCATACTTCTCGCACCTGCTGTACCTGCCATACAGATGTGGTCGACCTCGCAAAATGCTGACGTCACATAATGGCCCATCCACCGACCCCTGCACCAATGAGTCAACATGATCAACGCAGTCCCCAACCGCCACTACATGGGTCAGTCTACGGTCAACATGACACGTTGACCATCGGCCCATGGGCCAGCCGTGGTCAACATCGCGGTGCCTGCCCGTTGACCACATCATCAGACACCCCCCAGATGTGCACGGACTTGTCGTCGCTGGCTGATGCCAGGATGTAGGGATCTGTTGGGTTCCAGTGGACGGCATTCACTGTTCCTGAGTGGCCCTCCAGCTCCGCAAGCAGCTCCCCTGAGCGCCGGTGCCACACGTAGACCTGCGCCATGCCCATGTCAGTTGGTATGTCCAGCATTTCTTATGACTCACTTGGGAGCTGTTCTGAGCATCAAGTGTTCACAGTAATTATAGATTACTGAGCGCTTCCATTTGCGTCCCATTGAAAGTTGCAGGCCCCTTGTGGAAAGATTCTTTCGATGGTCGAAGACAGAAAGCATCAGTCGACCACCTATTCAATCTATCCAATCATCGTTAAGCAGTATCCATTTCATTTTTCACCATCATGCCCACCTCCGCATGCCACGCTCGTGTCAGGCAACTGTGCAAAAAATGTCTGACATTTCTTGTGACTTGCTTACTGTTGATTCAATGTGCATGCGGCCACACTCAGCGATTGTAGGGTGGAATTGCCGTGAGCATTAAGTGTTCACAACAATTCAAAACTACGAATGAACGCTCCCTTTACTGTTGCACACCGCATGGCATCAATAACTAACACAGCGCTTGAGCCCCCTCCCAGAAGAATTAATTATGGAGCGAGGCAGAAAGCATCAGACAATTACTTGTTCAATCTATTCAATCCGTAATCCAGATCACCTTTTCATCATCAAGTGGGCAACAGTGGGGTGATTCACGGATTGAATTGAGGCGGGGAAAATAAACAAAGAGAAGGAAACAAAACAGACCGTGCATTCCTCTGAGCCGCTGAGCACAAAGGCTTCGTCTGTGCCTCCAAAGCAAGTCCGAATGATGAACCGCTGACATTCCTCCCCACCAGGCGCTTTGTATCTGAAGACACATGCAGACTACCGTATCACTACATCACATCTTAACACCAATAAACAATATGCTACCACAACAACTTGTGTACTTCAGATGCACAGTTGTGCCGGCACAACGCTGTTGATATCCTTTAAAGCGCGTTTTGCAAGACATGAACACGCACTATATTTGAGAGGGGGTGGCAAATGCAATCCTGGCTGAAAACCGGCACGACGCAGGCGATGAAGATGATATGATTTGGTGCCATTGTAACGTGGTTTAAGCTTCGAGTACACAGCTCCATGTTTACATTTTGACACCACATGTATCAAGACTGTGAAATGGGAATATTTTGTGAGTGAGCATCATGCACACAGGTTGCTCAATAGAAGGTGCCAGCTTCCCTTTCTGTTCAGCCAAAACTTTGGAGATGAACTGCGAAGGGACAACGAAACAGTTTGCAGTGCTTGCACTGTGCACAATGTGACCAAATCTGCATGTGGCGAATTTCTGGCCCCTCAAACATAGAAGTCAGAAGTGGATGGCCACAGTTGCTCTTCTTTTACCTTCTGCTGCTTTTTTCATTTCTTGGTAGTGGCTTGTGCCACGCCATCAGTTTTTTCAAGTTCTTCAGTTTTTTTAGGTTTGAAGCCTCAGTTTCTTTTTAGGGTTTAGCCATTGGCGCTGTGGGAGGAACCTCCAATTTGGCGGTGGCACGGAATGTCCTAGATTCCTCGGTCTTTGACTTTGGACAACCCAAAATGACGAGATTCGGCCCACGTTGGGCGGGTTTGGGACTCTCAGGGCACTTCAATTTGCAGATCCAATCAACTTAACAACTAGTCCAATATCGATCTACTCGAGTGCATTTGATATTGGAGATTTCCTGGCAAGGATTGGAAAACAAAGTTTCCCAGCGATGGTCCTCCATGCTCCCATGTCAATGAAACGTGAGTTCGTTTTGAAATTCCCACCTAGCTTTGTTCACTAGACATTCTTTTTGAAGTTCTTTCCTTCTAGAATTCGGAAGCACAAGCACAACAAAAACTGTGCAACACTGCCTCTCAAAACAGACAATAAAAACATGAGCAGCCAGCGTGGGGCAGCCAAAACCTATTGGGCAAAGTGTGTACAAATGGCTGTACTTAGCAGCATTTATTAGTACTCAACAACTTATAAGCAGCAATTGGTGGTACATAGTCGAATCTATGCTGCCCAGAAAAGTGTTGCTTGTCAAACATCTCACATGATGGAAGGGCTGGCTGGCTGGGGCTGGGTCAAGTCATCCTCAAGCTCCCAAAGCTGGATTTGTCGACTCTGGGTTGCCACCTGCACCAACAGGCACATTGTTGGAATATGACAACAGCCATATGGACTGGCATTAGGAAATGTCAGGAGCAAACACTGGCATCTGAAGAGCCACCACAATTGTAAACCGTAAATGCTGGAGCCAAAACAGATGTGGTGTAACAGATGTAATGCAAAGTATGACCTGGAAACTCCAAACTTGGGAAGTGTACACATTAAGTGCATCTTTGCCTGTTCAGTACTTTGAAGCAAGGCAGGCCCAAAGTCCTTTATGCAGTTCCTCTTCCAAGGAATGCATTCTGCCTTCGGGGGGCACCTTCCACAGAACTACGTTCACGTGGCAAGCTGCGATTCACTGTGCTTTATGATCCATTAATTTAGCCATTATTTGTGGACCACCAATATTTGTCATCGCTACACAATACAGCTGGACAATTGATGTTAGGTTCATCCTTCCTTCACTCCAGAGTATGCACGCGCCAAAATGGCCACCACCCACTTAACGGTGCTCAGAAGCAGATCTGCAATATTTGTAACAGGAAACACTGCTGAAGATGCCATCAAAGGCACGGTCGAAATGACGTGATGTAGTCCCGATCGACCACGTTTTAAACTTCAAACTTGTGACTTGGTTCCAGTTCATCACAATTGAGTACAGTCAGAAACCCTGTGAAATGGGCAAGATTTCGCCAGCGAAATGGTACAGCTCACCAGCAAGTTTCTGCCATCGTTGGACAATGCCAGAGCACTGGGCTTCTCCCCTGAACCGCAGTTCTCGATGGTGCCCACATTCACTCCGTTCAGGTCGTGGATCCAGATTTTTCGCTCCTGCTTGCCTCCCAGGCACACCAGCTTGGAGCCGTCTTTGGACACGACGAGGTCTTGAACCCGCCCGCACTCTGACCACCGATCCAGCATCTCGCCATCCACATTCCACATACACTGCATCACCCGGCAGTGGACATTTCCTTCAGAAATGTTTCAAACTCAGAATGCGTGTTTTGCAATGCAGCAACCCTGACTCCAGGACTATCGTGAGTTCTTTTTTCCTTTTCTTTTTTGGGTCCTTTTCCTGTTTTCTCCCAGTTTAATGAGTGCTGTCGTGCTGCATCTGGCTGCAATCTGAGTAACAATGAGAACATTTTGCAGATTCCCATCGTGTGTGATGCCAGACAGCTCATGTGGTACATGCAGTGCAGTAGTGGGTATATGCAGTGTAGTTATGTAGCGTGGATATGTATTGCAGATATATCGTACATGCATTGGTAGCACAAGTACACTACATATTGAGTGCTTCATGTGCAGTATTGCATGCCCGTTTGCATACCCAAGCACACAGGGAACTCAAAACTCGCTGCTCCAAATCTGGCCAAGCTCAGTGGTAGTTTGCAAGCAAAGAAAACCGAAGCACTCCACAGCAGCACACAGGCTGAATTCCCATCCAGTGTTGTCTTTCACAGGTGCTCACTACTTGGAGTTTCACTCCTTGGCGTTCGCGGCTCCCCTAGCGCCGCAAAATGGAAAAGGGCCCCAAAAGTGCTGTTGAGGTTGTGTGCGATTTCGCCCTGTTTCACTTGCATCATGTTTCAGGAATATCTTTGATGAATGTATCCTCCTAAGCACATGTGAACATGACACATTGGGTGTGACATGTGCCACCACAGAACCCAGGCAATCGTGACTAAAATGCGAATTAATCACAGCAGTTTATCATGCAATTAGTCAGTAGAACTGCAGGTAAACAAATACTCACATACCAATAGACAATTCGACATATTCACTGAGCAAAACAATTATCAGCTCATCAACAATGACATAGCAGATTTAAAATCAACTTTGGTGGCAGAATCAAATTAACTACGTCAATTACTGAACTATTTAAAATTGAATTCAAAATTCGATCTTAAATTTTAACTAACAAGCAGTGGCCACACTCACAAGCGTGCTGTCCATCCCCCCTGTGACCAATCGCCTGCAGTCAGGCAGCCATCCGATGGACTGCACCTCCCCATCCGTCCCAGGCCTATCCTCCCGCATCTCTGTGCCTTCTGTCCTGCAAGCCCCTGCCCCTCCTCCCAGCATGCTGGATTCCCAGCCAGCAGCCAGCAAGCGCCTCATTTTGTTACCCAATATTGCCCAAAGCACGATGCCGCAACCCCCACAACCAATATGAAGCATGCCACACTGATCATGGCCTGCACCTGACACCACAACTGGACAACATACCACGGGTATAAGATCAATATCACAACCGCACATTCCTCAGTATTTGTACTCTGTTTTGAAGTTCAACACACATTGACCGCCAAGATCGCGCAATTTCCTCCACAGAGCTAACAACTGTTAAGCTTTCGTCACGGAGCACATAGCACAAATAGGATAGCCCCAGCCAGCACTTGTTCCCTCGCACAAACTCCTTCATACTCACATCCAAGCAAGCTCAGCGGAAAAAAACGTTGGGGAAAGACACAAAACAATGTTTCTTCTGTAATTTCTCTAGTTCACCAGCTCGGGTCCTTTGGGTTAGGTGTGGTTATTAGAGCAACAGGCCACCCCCCCTGGGATTGTGTGGCGGGCACCAGAACGTGCCAAAATTGGACATGACACTGCCCAAACAGAGTGAAGACTGAGGACAACTAAGCAAGGGGATGGTTTGAAATTCATATCAAAAGCTTCTTTGTGCAAAGGCATTGTGTACTGGGACGCCAAACTGATCCCATTCAAGGCCTGCTCACAGCTGGCTGATTGTGGTTGACCCTGTCCGAATGCGGGAGGCATACATTAATGTCTTTGAATCAAATGATGTGGGTCGCATCGTGTGAGTCAACTTCATGCTGCTCTGTACTGGGAATATCAGCCCAGTTGAATCCATCAATACTTTGAATGGTGCATTAACTCTGCGAATTGTCTTTTTCCTTAAACTGTATTCCTTACAGTTCTCTGGGACTGGGGCACGAGCCATGCCGACTGCCAAAAGGCATGCCACTTCAGCACATGACTACAGCCAATACCTTGGCTACATCACCAAGGAAATGGGAATGTGATAAATCCATCCATACACTAACATTACTTCGACATCACGATTCTTTTTTATTTCCATCTATAATAATATTGCAGTATTAATATTGATGTACCCACTTGCAGTGGCCAAAAGCTGGTCGTCCGGGCTCCATGCCAGAAAATGCACAGCTTGGCGGTGCTCATTCCCATGCACATGACCGCGCAGCTCATGCACTTTGGTAACATGCTCACGGTCCACGATCTGCCGGCAGGATGCAAACAAGCACGGTTTCAGACCCATGCACAAGTACTTTGGTGTATTGCCAAATCACACTACTGTCACCATCATTCAGTACTTTAGGCCTAGTAAACAGTGAGCTGACTAGGCAGTTGAGCATTCGCGCAGTATTTTGTTCACATGTTCCACACTTCTGATCACAGGTATTGTTCCGTTTCTTCAGATGTCGTCCTGGTGCCATAACTCTGATAAAAGAGGTATTCGATTCACCAAAACAAATAGGATAATGCGAAAATGCCCAAAAGTGAAGAAAAATAGCCGACCCCAGGGACAGTGTGCCTTAGATTGCCCAGAAAACGCTTGCTCTCTTTCCACACAAAATTGTCTTGTACACACTCTTTGGGGAACATCTTGTGCAAAGCCTGCTACTCTATACACTATATGTGCTACTGACTCCTAATTTCAGCTGTGCACCAACAGCTGCCTTTTGGGAGCACAGAACAACACCTGACAGGTGCAAGGACCACACTCTGCAACTCTAGACAGACAGGAATGAAGGACTCACATTAAATAGCACAAGTGCTACCATCATATTGCAAGCCATTCATATTTATGTTCCTTTTCTTTTTGCTAATGTTTCATTTCACGATCGACTATTTACGCTATTCTTCATTTCTTATGCCTCTTTTTGAGTAGAACACACACATCCTCATTCGATGCCACAACAGGTCAGCAGAGCAATAAGTGCACTGCACTCATCCACCTCTGCCCTCTGGTGCTGCCTTTGATCCATGATCCAGTGCTGTCACTAATCCAGCTAGGGCATGGAGCACAACAGAGAGCAACTAGTACAGATGCACCACGCTGAACAAATAGGAGTAGTTCTAACACTCAAGCAATGAGTCCCTACATCAAGCAATGGCTGACAATTCTACCCAGTGGGAACTCACCTCCCATATGATGGTGACGCCATCCTTCGAACAAGATGCCAGGCGCTTTCCATCATTCGAAAACTGCATGCACAAGCCAATCACTGATCATCTGAAATGGACTTGTGGGTGCAAAAGTAGTGCTTTGTCACACTTCCACAAACTCCAACAATATTGAACTGAGCTAACTTGGTTCAATTTGCATCGATACTAGATCACAAATTAGAAATCACAAACTGCATACCTGCAATCCGACAAAGACCACAATTGACTTCCACCCATTTGCTTTCGCGCTCGCTGGCTCGAACGACTGCTGTCAAATGGTGAGCCCAATCATGTCGAACGAATCAACACACAAAAATCAAATGCACCAAACTCCATGAAACAAAGTCAATTACTGTTGTATCATATCACTATACACCATTTATACCTTCTATGGTATTTTCAACAATGGTCTGCACTTTGATCACAAAATGGTGCATGCAACCATTGGTCCAGCATACCTGCACATTCCACACCTCGCTATTATGTGCTGTTATGTGTTATTATGCTATTATGTAGTATGTGCAGAAGCCATTCAATTATCACATCGTTACATCCACTTTACACAGTTTTTATGTATGTACATAGATGCTCTACATAATTTTTATGTCAAATTTGTCGATGGTAATTTAAACAATGCCACCAAATGGCATATGCGCCCGTTTGCCCAGCTCACCTGCACATGCCACACCTCGTCCTTGTGGTCCAGCAGCATATGCAGCGTGTGGTTCGGGATCTGCTCCTCGCCGCAGGCGTAGTCGGACAGCAGTGAAGGCATCGCGTCCCGGGTGTTGTGGTACAGGCACTTGGACAGCTGCGAGTCGATGGCCTGATCAAGCAACGTCAGCAGGCGGTCCTCCGCAAGCATGACGTCAGCGGGCACCACGCTCTGGGGAGGCGCAGCAACGGCACGGTGAGATTCGTTACACTTCAAAATAGAGCTGTACTTTGAGATGCCCTTTTCTGAGGTCCCCTTATTTGATGGTGTCCTTTTGTGAGGTGCTTTGAGGTGCCCT